ATAGCCATATTTTGTGAAAACCTTTAAAAAGACTATAGAATTGTTCTCAGAAGCAAAAGCTACTGTTTGGATGAAAGAGCAAGTGGACTGGAAATACATAGCTTGTTATAGTCTTCTGCTGTTCATGTTTGATGCATGTGTACAATTTATTATTCAATTTATTGAGATTCGACAAAGTAATTGTCTGGCAAACCATAGCTTTAATGATTTTTTTCTGTTTTATATGAAAAGACTATAGGTATTTTAGGAAAATGGCTTAATAGATCAGTGTCTATAAGTATTCTTTTGCTTGTTATATATCTGTAGGTTGTGGAGACCCAGAGATATTTTCAGAGGAGTGTGATTCCATGTAGTAAATTTATTTTCTTCAGCAGAGTAAGTGCATGAAAGCTTACAGGAAGCTATAACTTGCAGAAATTATTTAAGCTACCCTTGGGCCCTTATAGTGGAACTGCATATCTTCTCAGTAGGGAATAGAGGAGAAAGAACATGACAGCACCTCCAATGGGAAGAGGATATTAGAATACAGGCACAGTCTTCAGTTAATGTCACTAGGCTACTGTGATAGCAGGTTGATGTTATTTGCAGTTGTTAGAGGGTAGATTTATCAACCACACTCTGACTTTGCAGCTAAGATTCATTTGCCATTCTTTGCTGCCTGGAGGCAGACATGGACTCCTAAAGCTCATTGACCTAAAGCATATTCTGTCTATTTACCTGGTGCTTTTGGGCAGAGATGTACAGAAATTTGGGTTCAGGAGATTGATGTCCTCTTTGAAATATTTAGAGGGCACAACAAAATAGTTTTAGTTGCTTAATGTCAACATCTGCCACCTGGTGCCACACTCTTGAAAAATAATGCCAATATTATTATTTGAGTGTGCCAATAATGCACACTCAAAGCCATAGAGCAAATATGTGTATATACTCTTAGATAGTAAAATCCACACTGGTCATAGGAGACAGGTAATATATTTTTCTTTACTAACACTATCACATAGAACCTAAAACAACATTTTAGCAGCACATACTCTCCAAGAAAGAGTGATTATTAAGTTTTATGAATTGCACATATGCAGTAATTACAATACTACATATAAGTGTATGTGCACATACATAGCAATATATCGGGAAAATACCTATATATTTGTATGTAACATATATACTATATATGCACACATATATACATAGAATCATAGACACATACAGACAAATAAAATCACTATATCTGCACCAGGATAGAGAACCTGACCACCTAAATTGTTATTCAGATGTTTTGACCAATGATACATCACTTTCCAGAATAATTCAGCAAACTTTGTTATTTTAGTAAATTTTATTTTTTATTAGGAGATTCATTTAGCAATCAAGATGATCCACCCTTAAATTCTGAGTGTTGATGACATGTGACAATTGGAATAAAGCAATTTGGATTGGGGATAGCTAGGTTGCCATCAAGAATTTGTATAATTACAAGAAAAGCCAGATTAATGTTATGATACTGGAAGAGTTCCCAGGTTTCTGTAGATTTCAGAACCATATTGATATACGTAACAGAGTGTTTGAATGATCAGCTTTTCTAGCATTCCCAGTTCTTCTGCTGTACAAATCTCAAAACATTTGTTCTAAGAATCAACATATAAACACAAAAGCCATCTTACATGTAACATTAAATGTTTTATTGAATGAATGGATGAATCAATGGTAAATACATAGTGAAATCCATCTATGAATCAGCACAACTAGAATAAACAAGTCCAAATCTATCCCCAGTGGTGACAAGGTAATTTCCTAAGTAAGTGGCTTCCAATAGTAAATTAGACTCTTGGGAGCCACAGTATTCTTCTAGGTCAGTAAGGGAGGAGGTTGTACAAGCAAAAGGAGAAACCCTAAAAGCCCCAGATTCCTAGAAGGAAAACACTGAAAGTATGACTCCAGGAGCTTCAAATTCTTATCTCTCAAGAGAAGATTCCTGAAATGCAAAGAATCTAAAGAAAAATCTATACACAGCCCTACATCTTTCTGTATCAGAGAAATCCATCTATTTCCACAGCTACTTGTTACAGAGTCTATATGTTGGCAGGATTCTCAAAGAAGCAAACATAGAGTAGATACAGGGGCAGATACACATTCTGTGGTGCAAAACATTACACATTTTTAAAACTAACAGTATCATAAACGTTGCTAATTCCAGGAAAATAATGTAATATTAACTAATTAACTGTGAGATGTATCTCTATAATATTCCCTTCCCTGAAATTTTGGCTTCATACTATTAAAGTAGCAAAATGAAAAAGATTTTGTAATACAATTATCTAGAGGAAAATAAGTAGATCAGTTAATCTTTCTTCTAACATGATTGATCAAAATTTGTTTTCTAAGGCTGAGGCAAGAGGATTGCTTGAGCTCAGGAGTTCAGGACCAGAATGAGAGACATAGAGAGACCCTATCTCTACCCCCACACACACAAAAAAATCCAGGTATGGTGTCAGGCACCTGTTGTAACAATTACTTGGGAGGCCGAGGTGGGGGGATCTCTAAGGCCTAGGAAGTCGAGGCAGCAGTTAGTGGTGATCACGTCACTAAACTGCAGCTTAGGTGACAGAGAAAGACTGTGTCTCAAAAAAATTTTTTTTTAATTTTTAATTTTTTTTATTAATAGCTTAGAGAAATTTTTTTAAAGCTTCCCAAAGTTTCCCTAGAGTTTTATGTCTTGATGCTGTGTAAGTCAGCATAGTGGGAAATCAGGATATTCCTGGTAGTCATTCCTATATCAGGGCAGCTTGCAACAACTTAACTGTATGTGGAAGCAATTGTGAACCACATAAATGCATCCTTCTACGTCAATCCAAACCAGATTCCCAAATCAACTTCCCTTTTGCTATGTCTCAAAGTATTCACAACCCCTCCAAAGCCATCTGACATGAGGGGAAGTCAGAGTGAAAATAGCACTCTTAGTTGATTACGGTTAAAAAAAATCTCATTTTTGCAAATTTTACACATGGCTAGTGCCCCTCCTAGAGCCTTGGAGGGGGCCCATGAGAATGAAATGCCTTTCCAGTGGACAGTTGCCTCTAATCACTCAACTCGGGTATAGTTTTTCTGTGGCCCCTCATAGCTAAGTTGGGAGGCCCAATCCCTCCACTTATTTCAAGGGAATTTACCTAGGCCCTGTTATGAACTGGGATCCTATATCCCATGCACTAATCAGTATTTTCAGAAAATAGAGAGATTCAGAATATGAACTTTAGAGCTGGAGAGAAAGGACATCAGCAACCACACAATCCCCTTCCCACCTCATGGATGATTAAAATGAAATCCAAGGAAAGTTAACATGTGTGTAGATTTATTTCTCAGTTGTCTTGTGAATCAAGTATTTAGGGTTCACTAAACCAACATGGAGTGTTTTCCATGTACAGGGCATTCTCCCATCAAATCCTTACAATGAACTTGTGGGATAAATGAACCCCATTTGACCTACAAGAAAAGTGAATCTCAGAGAAATTAAGGGTCTTTCTGGCCTTATTTCACACAGTTAGTAAATTGCATAGTTCAAGTCCACATTCTTGCCCACTATGCTATAGCATCTCAAGTCACCTAATGGGTATGATCTCCTCCCACTAAAGATAATATAAATAATAATTTTTTTGCATTGTCTTATTATTTCACATTTCACAGCTTTCTTAAACATTACACTGTCGCTTAAAATAAATTTTGTAGGAATTAATATTATCCACTTAATTAAAAAACTAAGGTTTAAAGACACTGGGACACATGTGTTACCAATAAATGATGAAGGTGAGCCTCAAGTCCATTTTCTTTCTATTCTAGGTCCTATGTTCTTTCCTCCTACTCCCACTGGTCAGTGATCTATTAGAGGAACTGTAGCTACAATCGTCCCTCTTATAGAAACTTTCAGTGGCTGTCAAGAGCCATGGCCTATAAAAGTAAAATCAGCATAGACTGAGATACCTTTCTTACAGCTTTCTCCCAGTAGGTCTGTGTTTGAGGCCTTCTTCTAAGGTTAGAAGATCCTGACACCTCTCTTATCTTATTGAAGATAATGGACTTCAGTTGCAAAGTATTTATTTTCAGCATGTTACGCTAAAAGTATTTGAAGTGTAACCCTAGTAAATAATAAAGTTGAAAGTTGTTACTCAGGATGTAGTTTATTTCTTCATTGCAGTACTTGTTTATATTCTGTGAGAGCTCAGTGTAGTCTGTTGACTCATCAGCCCCAAAGTAGGGACACTGTGTTGCCTGTTCTTCCTTCTCATAACTTTCCCATATAAACCTGTTAAGTTAAAATAAAGTTGGCCTATGATGCATTAGGGCTGGAGACATGAGTATCATCTCATGTTTAGCTTAATTTAAATATAGATGGTTTCGCATATATAAACATGTATAGATATGTGGACACATAGAGTTAGTATACACACATATTTCCTTGATCTTTAAGCTCAGAGTACCTAAAAGTAAACACACCCCAGTAGCAATGAGCAGACCCAATGCCCAGATCTTTATTTCCAACACTATTCTCCAATAACAGGAAGCAGTGTTCCTTTGAGAAATGAGAAATGGTTGATTCTAAGATTGGAGCATAAAATATACAAGATGAGCCTGCAGTATATTGCTGGGAAAGAAAGACAGAAAGATGAAAGAAAGAAAGACAGAAAGAAAGACAAGAAAGAGAGAAAGAAAGAAAGAAAGAAAGAAAGAAAGAAAGAAAGAAAGAAAGAAAAAAGAAAGAAAGAAAGAAAGAAAGAAAGAAAGAAAGAAAGAAAGAAAGAAAGAAAGAGAGAGAAAGGAAGGAAGGAAGGAAGGAAGAGAAAGAAAGAAGAAAGAAGGAAAGAAAAGATGAAATAAAGAAAGAAAGAGAAAGGTGAAAGAAAGAAGAAAGCAAGGTGAAAGAAAGAAAGGAAGGAAGGAAGGAAGGAAAGAAGGAAGGAAATATATGTCCTTTCAAAGCTGCAATAGTTTAATGAGGAAAGTAAAGCAGTATTGGATTATAACCCAAAGTATAAAATAAATATCCATGAGTTTGTATTAATATTAATTAATTAATTAATTAAGTGGGGGTGGGAATGGACAAATTTTTCTTGCAGGGGAATTCCAAGTAATTGTTGTAAATACTCCACCTAGAAGAAACTGAAGAAGTTGTTCGCCACTCCTTAAGAGTGTATAGTGACTTTTTTCCAAGAAGTACAATATGGAAAGAGTGATAAAAAGAAAATTATATCTTATTATGGAGAAACATGACAAGCACTAAATCAGCTTGGTGAACAAGTTTAACATCAGCAGTGATGAATCATATTTATCACACGTATCCCTAAATTATATAATCAAATGAGACTTTCCTATGATGGTCATCCTCCCAAAAACCCACCATAATCCCAGTCTAATCATGAGGAAAACATCAGACAACTTCTAGTTGAGGATCATTCTACAAACCAACACTTCTCAAAATCAAGGTGATCAAAAACAAGAAAAGACTGAGAAGATGTACAGCCAAAATGAGCCTAAGAAAACATGACAACTAAATGTAATCTGGTCTCCTGGATGGGATCCTAAAATCAGAAAAAGAACATTACATAAAAACTAAGGCAATCTGAATAATCTATGCATTCAGCAAATAATAACTCAGCTAATAATGATTAATCAATATTATCCATCAATTATAACAAATGCATCGTACTAATATGTTAGGAAAAACTGGACACTGGTCATATGAGAATGCTGTATTATCCTCCCAATTTTCCTGTAAATCTAAATCTGTTCTAACATTTAAATGTTTATTTTAAAAGTACTCTGAATCTTAGAGAACAACTAAATAAATGTTTATACTAATAATAGTTCTGAAAAATGACATTACATACTGACAGATACCCATGCTGACAAATACTAATTTTGGGAAACAACAACAAATGAACACACAAACACACACAGTTTCACCTTCAAAATTAAGTACTGTCTCTATTACCTAATTAAATCACTATATTTCAGTTTTCCTCCAAACATCTGCAGTACATATCATTAAATGGACATATAAGATTCAACTGACAATTTTTACCCATTTCAGAGACTCTGTAGAATTTTGTGCCAATAATATACGTATTTCAGGTTTATGGAGACAGTTTCATTAAAAGCATGTCTCAAAGATGAGAGCTGCAAAAATCTGCATCTTACACAATAAGAGTGTTCTTGAAATTCTCTCTGCAAGTATTGAACTTCTTTTGACACTACTGTTACAAAGTCAAGAAAATTAATACGCATAAAAAGGAATAAAACAAAACCAAATATTCTGGCAGTTGGAATTTAAAACCCTACAGAGGACTTAAATCAGTCCTTATCTTGACCTATGTTTTGCTCTAAGCTCAATTAAGATGTAAAGACAAAATAAAAAGATTCTGGTGCAGATTTATCATGTTGTATTAACTGTGGCTACATCTTACTATTTGATTTTGAGAAAATATATCCTTTAGCTACTGGGTTGTCTTTAAACAACTAAAAAGAAATACTCATCAGAATTCTTGAATTATTTGTCACCTTAGACAATCGACTCCCCAAATTTATTCAAACTTCCAGACAATACTTCAACAATTACTATATTAACTCAGAACAATTTCAACAACCTTACTGGAATACTCTGAAATATGGTATTATAAAATAAATAATAGACACAGAAATAGGATTGGGTATACTGGGGTGTAGTGGAAGAATAAGGAGGATATGGTGATAAACATATACAGAACATAAAGAAGGATATGGTGATAAACAGGATAAACAGAACAACAGATAATTTTTTTAAATGGAAAGTTGGAGAGATTTGCACTAATATCAAAGAAGCAGAGAGCGATAATCAATAAATACCTCAAGATATAAACAGGTTGTCTATAGAGAAACTAGCACTGCAATCAAGGTGATATATCCTTGTAAAGATAAAATAATATGTGATTAATAAGCATATAGATATTTGACTGAGAAATTTAGATCATGTCTTTCCATTAACTACAAAACTTTCAATGGGCTGTTGAATATTCCAATGTAGCAATACACATATTCCTTTTTAAAAATTGGTAAGAGAAAGAACAAAATTATTGCCACAAATGAAATAAAAATTTGAGAGTGGAGAAGGTGATTTTAATAGTTTACAAATTTGGATAATAATTCTTTATGATAAAGATGGATTGTCTTCCTCATAGAGACTTTCATTTCCTTCTAAAATGAGCATTCAGAATATCAAACAAGTGCTTTCTCACAAACTCCAATCCTTTGAAAACTTTCATCCATATAAAATAATTTGTGAATATAAGTAGTATAATTTCTGCCAATGCACTCAAAATACATTGACATGTTTTACTTCTTGTTTGTATCTGATGACTTCAACAAAGATGACTGGGTACATTCCTATGACCTCCGGCCTCTGGGAAGTTTTCAGGGGGAGAATATGTTCTTCCTTATTCTACTGTTTAACCTTCAATTTATCCTGCAAATCACTAGGAGAGTTCCCAATTATTATTTGGGGGAACATTCAGTTCACTTCTCCTGAATGCAAGCCTATACAGTAGTTAAATGAAGGAAATACTCTCTCTCTCTTCACATATGGGAAACTGAGACCTGAATAAAGAAAAGTGATTTGTCTAGAGTTACAGGTAATGTGGTAATGTCAGAGACAGAAGCCAATGTGTAACATCCTCTCTCAGACATTGTCATGAAGGCCTAGTGCCAAAAAGCGACTTTTCAGAGTCCTGAATCTATTCGGCTACCTGTTATTAAACCGTCATTACTAATAAATATTCTTAGTTTTTAACATCCAATTGTGTTTATTGGGATGGTTTTCCATTTATCTTGATTCAGAATGATATTAGTGCTGCTTCCTCCTACAGGAACATCTGCATGTCCTGCTTTTTTTTCCCTGTAGGCTGGGCAGAAGACAGTAGAGCAGCCAACACACAAAACCACCATTGGTGCATGGCTAAAGACCATGGCCATTTTACGGCATCTTGAACATTCACACCCACAAAGTAGGAACTGGAGCTCTGCATCAGGTACTTCTTGTGTTTCTTCTCCTCCTTTCCTGAAAAAGGGTAAAGAATTTCCTTTACAAGAGGCATATTCTCATACGGAGATCATAACTGCCAGAAAAGCTAAATATCCTTAATTTTAAAAAATCTTAATTACCCAAGATATGCATGAAACACCAATGTCCCCCAGAGGGAAAAGTGTGATGGCTTTTACAACTACAGGTAAACAAAATATATAGACATACAATATCTAGAGAGCAAAGCCAAAAATAGTGGTACTCTCATTAAAGTGACCAGTTGCCTCGTGAATAGCATCATGAATCCTTACAACCCTAAGAAAAGTAAATGTATTATTTTCATCATCCAATATTTGTTGAGCACTAGGCATAATCTGTAGAAAAGTGGGGAAAAAAGGAAAACTAAGAAGCGAATTCTCTAGCTACATCTGTCTACCTTCTATTTAACAAATGTTAAATAAAGCACTCATTATGTTTCTGGTACTGTTTTAAGGACTTTACAAATATTTACAAAATTTAAACACCATAAGATCCATTGAGATAGGTGCTATAATTATCCCATTTTCAAAGGAAGAAACCAGGCACAGGAAGGTTACTTGCCGAAGGTCACACCAATGGAAAGTGGCAGAACAAGGATTCCATTCCAGGGGATCTGCTTCAAGAATTCATGCACAGAATTGCAGCTCTCTGCTACCTTTGTTGAGTAGCACTTTGTGGAGTTACTATTAAAGCAACTACTCTCTTCAAAGTTTTAGAGAGCTTTGCTGGGTGATGGCGGCTATAGGTAAAAAATTTGGAGAAAGTACTTACTAAAGTCCCATCAAGCTCTTAGCTATGTGCTATGAGCAATAATTTCACAAAAGTATAAAGATTTTATTAATTTTAAGACAGTAGATCAGTATAATCCAGAGACTGCCTAATACAAGTTTAGTCAAATACCTGACACAGTCTGACTGTGAAATTCTTCCCTTGTTTTTTCTTCTCTTTCTCTGATAACATTTGAAAATTCACCTTTAATAGTCCATTAACATATTTATTGAATAACTCCTATGGACAAGACACAAATCTATGGACTACGGGAGATTTTTACCAGTCAGAGAACTTTTTCTCCCATGGATGCTTACAATCTAGTTAACATGATAACAGATTTCCCTAAATAAGCAATTAACAAAGCAGTAAATAATAAATGTTGAAAGAGTGTTACAGATAATAAGTACTATGAGGAAGTTAGAGACCTGCTTCTTCCTGCTCCAGTAATTGCTTATACATACCCTTATCAGGGCAATTAACAAGGATAATTATTCACTTGCTGAAGATAATTTACCTGCTGTCTCTTCTACTAGAATGTAAGCCTCTTGAGGACAAGAAAGCAGTTTTATTCATCATTGTTTCCTTGATGTTTAGCATAGTATTTGGTATTCAATAAATACTTAATATGTACTTGATGAATGAATGAATGCATGAATAAATAAATAAATGTTTCCTTTTATTTATTTATTTATTTATTATTGCATTTTAGAAATAAATGTTTTCTAGAGGCAGGCATTTCTTTTGTGGCCAGTACAGTATAATGGTAAATCTCTGGAGTCAGGCTGTGTTGGTTTGAACCTAAGCACTACCTTTGAAAAGTGTGTGATTCTGCAAAATTTAACTGATTTCTCTCCATTTCATTTTGCTCATTAGTAAAATGATAATAATAGTACCTTTTGTCATCAGCTAATTTGGCTATGGAAGAAATCACCCCAAAAGCTAATGACTTGAAACAGCAGCCATTGATTTAGCTCAGGGTTCTGTGGATCTGTCATTTGGAGTACTTTGGTTCTCCTGTCTCAGCTGGGCTCATTCATGCATCTGAGTTCAGCTATCAGGCAATCTGGGGAATGACCTGTCCACACGGTGTGTCATCTTCTACCTGACTAGCCTGGGCTTCATCACATGGCATATGACAGGGCTCTAAGAGGGAGAGTTGAAACATGCAAGGTCTCTTGAAGCTCAGACTTAGAATTGGCACAAGGTCACTTCTGACACATTCCATCAGTCAAAGCAAGTTACAAGGTCAGCTCACATTCAATCATTGGGTAAGTCGATTCCACTCTTGATGAGAGGAGCAGCAAAGTCACATTATAATGTGGTATGTATACCAGGAAGGGTGGAAACTTTTCCAATCTCCCATACTCTTTCATAGGATTAGCAAGAGGATTAAGAAAATAAAACATCTAAAGGATTTAGAACAGTGTCCACCACAAAGTAATAAACTCAATAAGTAATATCCATTATCATTCTGTTGGAGGTTGCCAGGAAAAGTTTTATAGTGGAAAGAAATCTGAGTTTACTCTTGAGAGATAAGTGGGATATCTATGGGTGGAGAATGAAGACCTTTCAAAAAGACACAGCCTAATAATAGGTGCTGTGGTTTAACAGTGGAACATGTCTGGAACAAGCTGCCCAGGCAAGCTAGAGCTAAATACTGGGAACCTGGAATGTGGGCCACAGAGTTGGGCTTGACAGCAAAATAATAACAAACCATTGGCTTTTGCCTAAATGTTAGCCAATAGCACCATTTCTTATTGTTATTTCAGATTTCGTGTTGTTTAATAAGCCTCTCAGTGCTGATGGTTTTGTGATCTCTTTGGCCACATCTACTCAAGATTTAAAAATAAAGAACTAGAAATCTGTGAGTTGTGCCTGGGTTTTGCCACTCCCTAACTTTGAAGGAGCTACGTGATCCTTCTTTATTCAATTTTATTCCATGTGTAAAATGGAATAATTTCGTCCTTTATCCATCCATTCCAAATGATGGTAATCTTAAAGGTCATATCACATTGAAGTAGTGTTTACTACCCAAAAGACACAGGGCATACCAGGCTCTGATGTTTATGCAATCTAGTGATAACTCATAAATCCTAAGCAGAAAAGTCAAGAATGAGGAAAATAACGTTTTAGCGTGGCTGCCCCTATATGTTAAGCAGCAAAACATTTCTAGAACTGCTCTAAAGATAATCTTCTGTTCCTCCAGTCCAGTGAGATGATCCTGAGCAACTGGAGCCACTGATAGGCCTGGATCTCTGCCACCTTGAAGGCTGACCAGACGGCTAGAAGCTAATGGCAGCTCTAGTAGACTGCTCAGTGGCCATAGTTTCAGAATCTTTCCATTGTACATGGTTTAAATGCAAATTCACTAATGAATAATTTTGATAATTCTATCGAAGTCTGAAGACGGCTTGCATTAGACGACTACACGATCATATTTAATTTTTAAAAAAAAGACGATTCTGGCTCCTCTTATGCCAAGTGAAATCCACCCTGCTCAGTGCTCCTGACTAGTCACGTCCTTCCTGCCATTTTAAAAACAATAGTGGCAGAGATGCAAGCTGCTGATAGTGCTCAGCAGGATAGATCAAACACACAGATGCAATTTCTGTATGTTGAACAGTGAAGTAGGATAAAATTCAAATACTTACAATCGCTTAGTAGCTAGCATCTGATTGCTGCAAATTGAATCTTTCATAACGAGATTTATTGTAAATAGTGCCATCTCATTTGTGAGTTCTGCAATAATTTCAGTTAAAGCCAGTATAAGATACTGGAGGTGTGAGATTTACATGACATATAGGCTAGTTTATGCACAGATTATGAAGGGACTTTTTGTTGTCAATATTCTTTTTTAATTGCTTACAAAATAACCAGAATTATATTTTTTTTCTGAAATTTAAAACATTATCAGATAACATGACCTTAGATTGCAGAAAAAAATGTTTTTATCCACTTCATTTCAGCAGCCGTTTTAGAATCACCAGCTCCCAACCCCTCTCTTCCCCTTCCACCCTAGTTGTTAAATAAGCATTAAAATTATAGGTAGTTCAAATTTTTGAAATGTGGCTTTTAGCTGGTTTGGAAGCAAAAGAGCCTGGTAATCATAATTAGTGACCAATATATCCTGTCCATAAAAAATAAAATAGAAATTTGAGACTAAGCTATTTTGAGGCCTACAAACATACTTTAATTCTTTCATCATAAAAAAAGAAAGTGGCCATAATTTAAGTGATCAATACTATTTTGCCTTTGGGCTTAGTTCCAAACACTTCATGAGTTCATAAAAGATCAACATCAAAAGCATAATATAAAAATTGCACTTTACATGTATGAGAGTTTTGTAACACTCTACATACTTGGTAGCTTTGATTGCTAGTGACACAGAGCTCCAAAAAGGTTCTTAGAGTCACATGATTCTTCCTCTTCAACATCCAAAGAAGGTAAATTCCAAAATAAAAATAAAAACAAATAATAGGGCCAGAAGAATTGGATAATCTGTTCTTTTTTTCCCCCGCCCTAAACAACAACAATAGTAAAATTCTTTTCTATGATTTAATCATGTAGTGGGGCATTTCTATTATAAACATAAATGTGAGAATGCAGCATCTCAGCAGGATCTGAATACAGAAGTCTTACTCTCAGATAATCTAGGACCTTGAAAAAAAAAAAAAAAAAAAAAAAAAAAAAAAAGGTGGGGTTTTGTGAGGGTTAAATGCTTCAGTTTGATCCTTCTTAATTTATTTGAGAGTGAATATCCCATGTGCATGTTAATGTTACCATTGTAAATGGCGAATCCTTATTTCTGAAGCTCAGAATTTTTAGTTTCCCCCCTTTCCTAAGCAGGTGTCTTTCCATCTCTCACAAATCAAAGAGGGTGATGGGGGTGTGAATAGACATCTTGCAGTGGTACCCTAATACAGATTTTTAATAAATTTACTAATCAGAACACATATAAATTAGGATAAATCATATTCATATATTTAATAGCAAACAAAGCTCAATGTAGCTTATATCCAGCTTCCTTCATGTTCATTTTACTCAAGGGCATACCTTCCTTTTTCTGCTTCTTTTTTTTCTTTCTTTCTTGGACACCTCCAACCCCCATTGACAACTGAAATGCAGGGCTATAAATGTAAGGGTGCAATACATCATGAGATAAGTCTGGAGAACATGTCCTCTACCAAAATGCACATGAATCTCTGGTACAGCTAAAATTCCAGAAACACGCTGGGGTTCCTTTTACATGCTAAGCAGGGTCAAAAATGTGAGCACGGTGTGGTTGCCCTTATATATCAGATGAGCTCCAAAGTTGAAAGGTTATGTTTGTGAATTGCAGCCGGGTTTCCTAGCACTTGATTCTAGCTCCTGCAAATCAAACACTCCTAATTGAAATACAAATCCAACAATATGATAATCTTTCAATAAAAAAATGTGACTTCTGCAACCTTATCTGTTGAAAAGCTGACAGAGAAGTTCAGAGGCAGTTGTTTAACCAGACAAAATGATAGAGAAAATATGTTTTCAAATAAGATCATAAAGCTTGAATAGTGCTTTATGGGAAGCAAATGTAAAGCAAAGGGCTGTCCTCTATGCTACCAGCTCTACTTCCCCCACCCTGGTGTGTTTCCTCAGCCACTTACCTTTAAGGCAAGGGCTAGTGTCTTCCAAGTCAGATTCAAACCCCAAATACCCAAACAGAATAAAGTGGTATCTTAGCATACTTTGAGATCAGACTGTTTCTGCATTTCATAGTGTTGGGGGGGGCGGTGTGGGGGGAAGGGAAAGCAGCATACCAATGTAGTGAAATCTGGAAACAACAGCATATATACAGACACAAAAAAAAGTTTGCATATTGCACAGAGCGCTTGAAGATCATAAATCTATGCATGAGAAAGATGTAGTGGAAATTTTGGGGGGGATTAGAGTTTATTTTTGTCATCTCTGTGAGACAGCTACTCATTCATCCAGATCACAGCTAAGAAAAAAGCTGGTCACAGAAATTAGCAGTTTCAGCTCAGCAGCGAAGTCGCCAGCCTGTGAAGGCAGAGAGAAATTGACTAATTAGCAATGCGCACTAAAACTTGACGGTTCTTTATAGAGAGAGAGAAGAGAGAGGGAGAGAGAGGGAGAGGGAGGGAAGGGGGGCTCGCTTTTTTCCCTTCTTTCTTCCAAAGATGTTTGAAATCGCAGTCATTTACGCTCGACAATTTTTACAATAGCCTTGAGCCATAATTTTGCGAGTCTCTCCAGCATCCATCCCCCTGTATGGTCTCTCTCTACTGGCCAAGCACGACCGTTTCTCTCCCCAACCGTGGATTTCCTATTACTCTCGTTACGACTCACTGAGCCCCAGGCCCAAGGATAATGATGTGTTGTTTCTTGGTAGCATAATTTGTCACACGTACATTTTTTCTTCTTCTTCTCTTGCAGAAAGCTCTGCTCCCTCTCTCTCTCCCTCTCTCTCTCTCTCCCTCTCTCTTTCTCTCTTTTCTCCCTCTCCTACATTTTCTTGCTGTTGCTAATTCATGGTGATCAAATGATGTACGACAAAATAAATTGTAAAGAGTGACTGCCTGGAGTTGGGAACCAGAAGGTGTTTTTCCCCCTCCCAAGGAGAGAGCAAACCTTTAAAAAGGAAGGACAATTGATTTTTGGGGGGAGCTTAAGTGAGCCTTGACTTTGCAGCTGGTTGAGAGCAGGTAAGTTTCTGGCCTTGTGTCTGCCTTGTGTGTATTTTGTTCTGTCTTTTGGGTTGTTGGAGGGGGAAGGGCCGGGGAGGGAGTCTTTCAGAAGGGTTGGGGGGGGTAGTTGTGTGGCAAACGCTCATAAAGAATAAAACTCCTATTGCAAGAAATAAGCAGATGAGGAGGAAAGGCAAGGGAGGAGAACAAGAAGGAAGGGGAATAGGAAAAGATGGGGGGGCGGGGGGACAACGAAGCGGAGAGAGCTAGAGAGAGGTATGACCCGGTCCTCTTAAAGGGAGAGAGACTCTGTAAGATGTTTCAGGCAAGCCAGAGCTTTGGGGGAGGGCGTGGGGGTGCTGCCGGGGGAGGGAGCGCGAGGGAGGGTAGGGTCCACCTGGAACAGGATGGTAAAGTGAGTCGAAAGGAGCCCAGTCCGGTATAAATAGGAAGCCGGCGATCCAGGACTGGCGCCAGGCAGGGCAGAGTGAGCCGCAGTGGAAGGGGCAGGTCCGGCGGGATCCCTCTGAGCCGGGCGGCGGCGGCGGCGGCGGCAGCTCTCCCCGGCGGGCGGGAGGGCGCGCGTGCGGGATGCGAGCAGAGGGTCCCTTTCTGCTCAGCCCTGGAAGGTGCAATTACAGGTTAAGGACCGGCCGTATCGATTTCGCCTCGCCTCCCCCGCCCTGCCCTCCTCCGCCTAGATGCGGGCGGCTCAGACTTTTTACAGAAGTAGTTCCAGTGCCGGGGGAGTGGGGGTGCCCGAGAGGGGGGCCGCTGGGGGCTCTATCGAGAGGGTCGGAAGGGAGTTGCGGCTAACGGCGACGACGCTAGATGGGGCGCAGAGACCCTGCACCCCACTGCGCGCCCCCCCAACAGCCTCGTTCCAGAGCCCCCACCCCTCCCCCAATACCTGCCTTCTAACTTGAACTTCTCATAGTTACTGGAGTTAAAGAGACTGCGACTGGTGCCCGGGAGGGAGAAACCACCCTCGCTCCCGGATCCCGCTCCAAACGCGCCCCAGCAGCCCCACTTCCTCCCCTGGGTCCTCGGTGCCGCCCCGCGCTGGAAGGGGAGATAGATGCCTGAACTTCCGCGCTTTGAAATGAGGGAGACCCGGGAGAGGGGGCCGCCGGGTGGGGGTGGGGGTGGTGGAAGGATTCTCCTGCCAGGTTTAAAGGCGTCTCTGGAAAATTAGCCAAACTGAGTGGTGACGGGAAGCCAACAGTTTGCGAAGCAGGGAAGCGGGCAGGGCCCGGCTGAGGGAAATGAGCTCGAATTGATAAGGACAGCTCCCGCCTCTGCCGAGTCCACTGAGCGGGTCCTCACCGCGCTCCGCTGCACTTTCCCGGGAGAAGAAAGGGCTTTATCTCCTCCCTCAGACTATTAGCCTAGGAGTTTCTCGGGGCAGGATGGATAATCGAAGGTGGTCCCAGCTTTTGGAGAGCTAAGATTCTCCCATCCCGCACGCTTGTCTGGCCCCCGTTCCTACCCCCTCCCCCAAACTGGGCCAACCGCGAAAAGCAAAGCTTCTGGCACAAGTTGACCTGGAAGCTTCGCCGTCGGTCGCCTCTGAGCTTTCAGGGCACCCCCGGCTCCCCACTCCCCGGCCTTTCCCTTCATCCGGCCCGGCATGGACTCGAGCCCACGAGGTGCCTCGGCCTCAGCCGCCACTTTGCCGTCGCTGCTGCCACTGCTGTTGCTGCCAAGAGCCGAGCTGAGGTGGTTTTAGGAAAGTGAGGGACGAAGTGTATGGGAGGTGGCGAGTGGAGTCGCAGAGAGCAGAATCCGCGCCAGGACCCCGGACTGGGCCCTTCTGGTGGCGCTCACGGATCCAGCGTCTTCGGACCTTCCTCCGAGGGTCGGGGTCCGGAGCGCGCCCGGGGGGAGCCGAGCTGAGCCTTGATTCTCGTTCTCCGCCCTCCCCTCCCCTCCACACCCTTCCCCACCCCGACCACACCCCACCCCCTCCACCACCCTGCTCCCCTCACTCCCATCCCCCACCCCTGTCTGCCAGGTTGGAGGAGGATTTAAAGCCAGGTGCACCGAGTCAGCTCGCCATGTCCAGATCCGGGGACAGGACCTCCACCTTCGACCCCAGCCACAGCGACAACCTGCTGCACGGCCTCAACCTGCTGTGGAGGAAGCAGCTGTTTTGCGACGTGACCCTGACGGCCCAGGGCCAGCAGTTCCACTGCCACAAGGCCGTGCTGGCCTCCTGCTCGCAGTACTTCCGATCGCTCTTCTCCAGCCACCCCCCTCTCGGGGGAGGGGTCGGCGGCCAGGACGGCCTGGGGGCCCCCAAGGACCAGCAGCAGCCGCCGCAGCAGCAGCAGCCGTCACAGCAGCAGCAGCCGCCGCCGCAGGAGGAGCCCGGGACTCCTTCCTCCTCCCCCGACGACAAGCTGCTGACCAGCCCCCGGGCCATCAACAACCTGGTGCTGCAGGGCTGCTCGTCCATCGGGTTGCGCCTAGTGCTCGAGTACCTCTACACGGCCAACGTGACCCTGTCCCTGGACACAGTGGAGGAGGTGCTGTCGGTCAGCAAGATCCTGCACATCCCCCAGGTCACCAAGCTCTGCGTGCAGTTCCTCAACGACCAGATCTCGGTGCAGAACTACAAGCAGGTGTGCAAGATCGCCGCACTGCACGGCCTGGAGGAGACCAAGAAGCTGGCCAACAAGTACCTGGTAGAGGATGTGCTGCTGCTCAACTTCGAGGAGATGCGCGCCCTGCTGGACTCGCTGCCGCCCCCCGTGGAGTCGGAGCTGGCGCTCTTCCAGATGTCCGTGCTGTGGCTGGAGCACGACCGCGAGACCCGCATGCAATACGCGCCTGACCTCATGAAGCGCCTCCGCTTCGCCCTTATCCCGGCCCCGGAACTGGTGGAGCGGGTCCAGTCAGTGGATTTCATGAGAACCGACCCGGTCTGCCAGAAGCTGCTGCTGGACGCCATGAACTACCACCTGATGCCCTTCAGGCAGCACTGCAGGCAGAGCCTGGCCAGCAGGTAGGAGACAACAAAGAGGAGGGTGGGGGTGGGGGTAGGTGGGGAGAGCCAGAGAGGCCAGAGGGAGGGGAGGGGGCAGGGAGGAGGGGAGAGATGGGTGAGCTGGGCGGGAGGCTCTGGCAGAATGAAAACAAACGCAAACAATTCAGAATGTGTGGGGAAAGTTGACTTCAGAGTCCCTGAAAGGTCAATAGGGAACTGGCCTAATAGCATCCCTGAGCGCTCCAAAGCCCAGGTTCTAGATGTCCCCAGAGCCCTAAACATTGGAGCTGTGGACTCAGACTGGAATTGACAGGCAGGTGGGGCCAAAGGCCAGGACAGCTAGAAGTACAGCTTTGGAAGTCTCTCCAAACCAGCCCTTTCTACAAATCTCAAGGTGGGCTTGCTCAAGAAAAAGAATCCTGTGGTGAGGAATGCCCACCCCAACCCTCCTCAGTTCTGCCTTGGGTCCCAACCCTCCTCAGTTCTGCCTTGGGTGAGCAGAAGAGCCCAGGTGATGCTGGCAAAGGAAGGCTTTCATGGTCTTGCTGTAACACACTCAAGTTTTTAGTTCATGACTGGGATCTGCTCCCTGTGGATGTCAGAGCTTCAAAATGCTTTGTCTATTAGAGTCACTACTGGAAATGCTGGTATCGTGTGCCCAGGCAAACTTTTCTATGTTGTGGAAAGCCTTTCCTTTTCACTTTTAAAGGAGAGCAAAGCAAGAGATTTCAGGGTGATAGGGTGAATCTTGCCTAGCAACTCCCATTTCAGGGAGGAGTGCAGTTGAAAATTGAGATTGGGGGAATGGAGAGGCTTCTATCTCCAGTTGGTCTGTGTGCCTGCTCACCGGTGACAAAGAAGTTGGGGAGTTGTTGCTGCTTCTGTTGATGCTAGTTAGAAATGTGGCTGTGTGTGTTGCAAGTAGGATTTCAGGGGAGAGAGAAATGATGCCTTGTTAAAATGCTGCTGAGGTAAAAAGGTTGTAGGAATTGACAATTGTGTTTTATTGGCTCCGATTTTAAAACCATTTTTAATGAGCCCTAGCAAAGGGTTTCTTTCTCTTTTTAGAAAAGAGAAACAGTATCCTCTCTGTTTCTCATGATAAAACATCATTATTCCAGATGCCCAGCTACTCCAGCCTAACCACCAAAGTATTACATTAGCAGAGTAGATGGTTTGAAAACCTAGCAGGGCATTTTCCCATTCAGAATGATATCTAAAGGATGGGGTCCAACTTGTGCAGCATTATAGAATTAAATTGTGTGCGTGTGTGTGTGTGTGCGTGCATGCGTGTGTGTGTGTGTGTGTGTGTGTGTGTGTGTGTGTGTTTTCCATTATGTTTCCACCAGACCTAGGTAACTAAAGTTTCAAGAAATGGAAGATGTTCTCTACACTTTTTTAGGCAGCCCTAGTATTAAGGAGAGGCCAAAACGATGCTTGAGAAATCTTGAACTTGTAATAAAACCCTGTAAGTTGATTTTTCTAACATCTATGGGAGATGAGTTAATGAATCGTGGTGTCAAAAATGATATTAGGACAATAGAAGAAACAAGAACATCTAAATCCTTGTGTGCTTCAACAGGGAGCAGAAGAGGCCAATGAGGAAAAAAAATGAAATATATTTTTCATTGGAATTTTTCATTTGTCTAAAGATCAAAATGGCAAACTCAGTGTGATGGGCAATGGGCATTCATGATTAGTATTCTGTCATTTAAATTTTTATCACTTTTAAATGACCTACAAGTATACTTCATTTAGCATGTATCATACATAGTCAGTAATTCAGACAACACAGTTATGGTCCTGAACATACATTTACTCATTCTTTTGAAAATATGTGTAATCTAGTATAAATTCAGAAACCCAGAGGGATAATAAAATTAAGATTTAACTTATTCTACGAGTAATTTTGGCAGATGAGCTTTATAAATTTGATCCAGTAAATAATTTTTGAAGCACAATGCACTTTTATCTAATAGGTATGTCTTAAGATTTAATGTTAGAGGAGTTGACTTTCAAAATGCAAAATCCATTTCCCGCTTTAGTCTAGATTCAGCACACCAGCTAGGGCCTGCTGGGTCTGACCTGGTGGATGGCTGAGATACCAGGCTGCCTGGCTCCGTGATGACACCTTCCAGCTTCACTGGGCCACATCATTTGAAGGATATGTAGTGGTGTCTGACCACTAAATGCTTACAAGTGTCATGGATGCTGCAAGAATCTGATACTTCTGCAGTAGGAAGAAAACTGTATTTATTTTAAAAGAGGAAGATATAGAAAAGAAAATAGTTCATGCGAACCAATCATTGACCTCAACATAATATAATTTAGGTTTTATTCCATTATTAGTAAATGTAGCATTTTGAATTTTACAGACTAATTACATTATTCTAATTTTAATTCACAGGAAAAATGCCAAAATAACCATGAAGTTCCTAACTTTAAAGTAGACAAAAATGCTGTAAGTTGCAACCAACAGTATTAAATCAGCCCATTTATTACAGGATCAGTGTAACACAAAAATATTTCCTCAGCCTTACGCGTAGTTTAACAGGGGGATAAATGTGTTAACCAATTGTTTTTGAGATTACATCACTTTTACCGAAGACAATTGAATAGAAAGACCTTGTGTTTGTTACTTTTTATCCACCTGTGGTTTTTAAACTATAAATATAAAAGACATTCTTACATTCAGAGAGGGAGATGAAAAATTAAAATTGACCAGTCTTTTGGAATAAGTAAAGTATAAGAAAATAGAAAACTTCAAAAGAGAATTTACTTGTTTAACAATATATGTTATCTATAGAAAGTAGAGAGATTAATATAATCATAATTTAAACATTTTAAGGATTATTAAATAATTTTGAATCTTTGTTAAGTCTAGAAAAGTAAAGGAACCCAAGCATAAAATCTTTATACAAATCCTCAAGTTAATTTAAAATGTTGCCTCTTGTTGCTTGGTTTTTCTGAGTATACCAGTTACACTCAAATTCATATTCCATTTTACCAAACTAAACACAAGGACAATGAGTAAAATAAGAAACTTATCACTTTGTATTCAAATACACACATAAGTAATTTCAGATGACAAGATTTGACAAAGGATGTAAAGTTTCAGTTAGGAAGAATAAGTTTTAGTGATCTATTGCAGTAGCAAGGTGACCACAGTTAGTAAAAAACTATATATATATATATATTTCAAAATTGCTAAAAGAGTCGATTTGAAATATTCTCGACATAAAAAATGGTAAGAAGGTGAAGTGATGGATATATTAAATCAGCTTGATTTAATCTATCTACAAGTCAATATTAAAATCATCTAAAGCATAAAGATTTAATTTCATAAAGTGACATTTGCAGTGTTTAGTACATTAAATGTAAGTAACAGAAGACCTGTAGTCTAAATTTAGCTAAAGCAACCCAAATACTTTCTTTTTTTTCATTTTAAAATGTTAATGCATGATTTAGCAGTTACCCAAATAAATCAAATTAGACTAGATATTAACTAGATAAAATTAACTAATGTTTTACATTTTCATTGCACCTCACACAAGGTAACAAATAAATAGTTATTAAAAGTTGAGTGAATCAAGATTATGAAATAAGAAGGGCTCAGTGTTGTACTTCATCAATACATTAATCTCTATTACTACTACACATAACAAAAGTTTGCTGAACCTTCTCCAAGAAAACATCTTTAATAGAAATACATTCATAAAAGTAATCATGTTTTTTAAACATTTAACAACTACCTATTAAATCCTGTGTAGAGTCTCTGTGTACTTTTAAATAAATTATATTTTGTAAATAATAGGAGACTACCTAAGATTTCATTTTCTACAAAACATAGTCTATTTAAAGATTTCTTATAAATTAATGTGAAAATATATTTAAACATCAAGGGTACTAATTATCTATCTGCTATAATGACTTGGAATAATTAAAAAGCCATTAAATTTCCAAATATACAGTTTTGATTCCTGGCTTTGGTGCTTAGAAAATGTT